AACGTCTTAATCATTTCTAAAGACTTTCTTGTATTAGACACACCGCGTGCAACACTTGACGTCTCACCTCTGGAATGGGATCTGAAAGCAGAGTGTAGAGCTTCTCGTGGGCGCTGTCGCGAACCCCGCACCAACGCGCCGGGTCAAAGTTCTGCCAGATGCGTCCCAGGCAAATAGCCACCCACTGGCGGAGCAAGGGATGGGGGTCTGACAGCTGCTCCAGGCAGTTTGCTATCAGGTTGCCCTGCAGACAGGCCTCCTGGAGGGGAGAGAAGGAGCGATGCAGAATGAGTGATGAGTGCATGAGATGCACAGATGTGAAGCTTTTGGTTATAAAAGCGGGCGCAGCTGCAGATGAGTATATCTGATGAATTTGAGAAAGACTGACAGAACCGTGGGAGCTGAAACAACATCGCTGAATTACTCTCATTTGGATCCGTCGTGAGACGCTGGACTGTGGTAGTTAACAATAACCTTCCCGCTAAATCTAATAAAATACAATATCTGCAGTCATCTCGAGCAGCGCACAGGTGTGAAGCTGGGAGCAGACTTGTAGCTCATTAGCCAGTTAATAACCACTAACCTGTAACCTCACACTGTCTGATGGACAAAAAGATGATGAGCTCTGTGGCAGCGTGACTTTTTCCTTTCAACCCATTTGGGCTTTAAAGAAAATCACCTGTGAACAAAAGGTAATTGGTTACCAAGTTTTCAAATGGTCCAAAGCACGAGAGGGAAGCTGGCGGCTTTGTTTAAAATCATCGTAAAGTTTCTTTTTGATTGAGTTTTTTGTCAGAGCACTAACAAGTGTTCTCTCTCTTATTTTCGCTGCTGTCACGTTTCTTCTTTTCAGACTTTTTCAAATGCTGAACTATCATTGATAACACTACAGACTCCCTGTCGTTTCTCACACACAAACGGTCACTATCTGCTAGCTTGTCTGCGTGTAGTTCAAATGTTCAACAGTACAAGATAAAACTACCCAACCTACAGTGTTGTTCAAACCCTTCATGATGAATTGTTATAATACCCAGGACTTTGACAGCGTACTAGACTTTATTCTAAAGCACACGTGGAACATGGAAACGTGTCCGTCACTGTTTTTCACAGTTCAATTTTAGCGACACTGTTTCTAAGCCTCGTGACTCTTTGCATCACAGTGCGCGGCCTTTTTATCACGTATGATTCATTCCTAACACATCGATGAATCTTATATGTAAAAGTGGGACAATGCTCCTTAGCACTCTCAAACACGCAGGATTACACGGTGGTACTAATTCATAAACTACCCCACTGGATCTGATCCCAGTGTTACAATGTCCGGCAGTAGTAAGAACAGGAATTAAATATTTTGCTGCCTACAAATGGAATTAATTACAAAAGCCTGTGAAGTTACATTGGAAAGTTTTAAAAAGTATATTTATGAGTAGCTACGTCCACACGTACACGGGTATTTTTGAAAAC